CAATTGTGATACTCACGGTAAGCATGATAGTATTGTGGTTAAGCTTTTTTTCCTCCCTGTGTTGGCTATCTTTTAGAGATACAAAGCAAAGTTTTGAAAAATACATTATTTCACTTCTCATGTTTGCTTCTAAATAATGAGAGAGAATAGGGCTAAGCAAGAGCTGGCGAGAGAAGGTGAAAGTGGGCTGAGTCATACAGGAAGTTGTACCCTGAGGAGATCTCACCACAGGACCTTCACAATTATGAAAAGGAAATAGCAGCCCCAATGGGGAGAAGACAGACAGACAGACAGACAGACAGACAGACAGACAGACAGACAGACACTGACTCAGATGAGTGATCAGAGGAAATTGTTTTTTTCTGGTGCTGGGATTGCAAAGGATAGCAGTGCATAAGACCAGTGATGGGGCTGTCAGCAGGTGCCTCCTGAGCATGGGAAGCAGCTAGCAACTAACAGACCTCTGTTTCCAATGTGTCCAGGCTGTGAAAGACAAGGGGAAAGTGATACTTCCAACTGACAGAGACAATGGACACAAGGATAACCTGATCAGTAGAGAGGTTATTGGTGAAATCTGATGCGGTCTGTAGATTGCTGCTTTTTAGAGTTATTGGGGTTTTGTAGAAGAGTGTCTTAATCTTAGGAAATTCATAGGAGTATTTACATTGAGTAGATAGATGGGTGGATGAACAGTTGACCGGGTGGATGGATGGATGGATGGATGGATGGATGGATGGGTAAGTGGGTGGGTAGATGAGTACATGAATGCATAGATAGATGAGTAAGTAGGAGGATGGATGGGTAGGAGGATGGATCAATGGATAGATTGATTGTAGGTGGATGGAAGGAAGGAAGGATGTATTAGTGGGTAGATGGGTGAATAGATGATAAAATTGTCAGTACTTCGAATCTCTTTTAAATGTGAGAAAACTCACTTTTCCTGTCATTGAATTCAGTAGGATTTGTATCAGTAATTATCAATTACAACTGTGTCTAATTTAGATACCACTGAGAAAAAGAACCTCTGAGTCATGAAGCAAATTTCAAAAATTATCCTGTCATAATCATAGCAATAAGCATGGTAGATTCCTGTTGCTATGATAACACAGTGCCAAAAGACACTTGATCCAAGGCAGCCCAAAGCAGAAGCATGTGTACCAGTACATGGGCAAAGGCTGCAGGCTCAAGGCCCTGACTTCCATCTTAGAAACCTGATGTTGCACCAGCCAGATGGCTCAATGGGTAAAGTCCCTCGCTACTAATGTGACAACCTGATTCTAATCCCAGGCCCCCTTGGTGGAAAAGAGACAATTGATGACTGCAAGCGGTCCTTTAACCTCCACCCATGCCACTGTGGCATGCATGTGTCCCTGTTCACTTATGTAAATAAATGATAAGTGGAAAAATGCTTTTCGTTCTTTGAGACAGGGTTTCTCTGTGTAGCTCTGGAGACCAGGCTGACATTGAACTCACAGAGATTTGCCTGCCTCTGCCTCCCAAGTACTGGGATCAAAGGTGTGCACTGACACCAGCCAGCTGATAAGTGAAAATTTTAAGACAACAAAAAAACCTGATACAAATGCTCACACATGCTAGTTAAAATTAGCAGGAGGCTGGGAGAATAGCTCAGTAGAGCACTTGCCTAGCATTTGTGAGCCCCTAAATGCAATTGTCAGCACCACACACATACACACAGGTTGATGTATGACCTGTAATTTCAATACTTGGGAGGCTGATACAGGAGGATTTCTGGGAGTTTGAGACCAGCCTGGGCCACATAATGAGTTCTAAGCTAGCCTGGACTACAGAATAATAGTCTGTCTCAAAAAAGAAATTTAAAAAGTTAACTAGTTAATTATAAGTTAAAATACAATCTGCTTTGTGCTAACCACACTTTAAGCATCCCTGAACCTCACTTCTCAGGACTAAAGAATGCTTGTATTATTATGTTATGTGTATGAGTGCTTTGCCAGCGTAAGTATCATGTGCATGCCTGGTGCTTACAGAAGTCAGAAGTTGCCAGATTTCCTGGAACTGGAGTTACAAATGGTTGTTTGTACTAGGAACCAAAACTAGCTCCTTGGAAGGCCTCCCTATAACCTGCCAGCTTGTGCTAGTGATGGACCCTGGGGCCTTGTGTGTTCTTGGTGAGAACTGTGTCATGGAACTGGAGCCCAGCCCAAGACAAACTGCTGTAGTAGCTGTTATGGTTAAAGACACTTTTCTAGACCATGGATTTTTAATTTTTTAAAAGATTTTATTTATTTATTATGTATACAACATTCTGCTTCCATGTATATCTGCACACCAGAAGAGGGCACTAGATCTCATAACGGATGGTTGTGAGCCACCATGTGGTTGCTGGGAATTGAACTCAGGACCTCTGGAAGAGCAGTCAGTGCTCTTAACCTCTGAGCCATCTCTCCAGCCAGGATTTTTAATTTAAAAAATGTATGACTTTGCCAGATGTGGTGGCACATGACTTTAGTCCCAATACTTTGGAGGCAGAGGCAGGCAGGATTTCTTGAGTTTGAGGCCCACCTGTTCTACAAAGTGAGTTCCAGGACAGCCAGAAAACACAGAGAAACCCCATCTTAGAAAAAAGGTATGATCGTGCACTTTTATTTACTCATTTATTTAATTTCTTTTTTAAAGATTTATTTATTATATATAGTGTTCTGTCTGCATGTATGCCTAGGGGCCAGAAGAGGGCACCATTATAGATAGTTGTGAGCCACCATGTGGTAGCTGAGAATTGAACTCAGGACCTCTAGAAGACCAACTAGTGTTCTTAACCACTGAGCCATGTCTCCAGCCCCTTCTTATTTCTTTTCTAGGCAGGGTTTCTCTGTGTTGTCCTGGAATTAGCTTTGTAGACCAGGCTGGCCTTGAACTCACAGAAATCCACTGCCTCTGCCTCCTGAGGGCTGTGACTGAAGGCATGCACCACCACCACTGGGTTTATGTATTTGTTTTTATGTGTATGAGTGTTCTGCCTGCATGCATGGCTGTGCACCACATGGGTGACTGGTACCCTGGGACTGGATAACTGACAGTTGTGAGCCACCATGTGGGTGTCGGTAAACAAAACTGGGGGGTCCTCTGGAAGGGCACTCAGCACTCTGAACCACTGAGCCATCCCTCCAGCCTCCTTTTAAAGTGTTTGCAATGTTTGAAGAAAACATGTTCCTGGGTCAACTCGGACCTTCTTGATCTGAAATTCTTCCTTCAAGAGTTTAAGAATCTAAATTTGTGAGCTGGACATGGTTGTACACGCCTTTAATCTCACCATTCTGGAGGTAGAAGCAGGTGGATCTGTGTGGGTTTGAGGCCAGCCTTGTCTACAAAGTGAGTTCCAACTAGGGCTATTACACAGAGAAACAAACAAAATTTGTTTGTCTTGAAAACAAACAAAAAATCTACATTTGTTTTGTGATAGACTTTTTTGTTGTTTTTTTTTTTTTTTTTTTTTTTTTTTTTTAGATTTATTATGTACAGTGTTCTGCGTGCATGTGTGCCTCCAGGCCAGGAGAGGGCACCAGATCTCATTATAGATAGTTGTGAGCCATAGGAATTGAACTCAAGAGCAGCCATTAGTCTTAACCTCTGAGCCCATCTCTCCAGGCCCAACACAGATTCTTATGTAGCTCAGGCTAGCCTTGAACTCACTAAGTGGCTGGGGCTGACCTTGACCATCTCATCTTCTTGTTGCTACCACCTGAGTCCTGAGACTAGAGGTAGGGGCCACCATGGCCTGTATATGCCGTGCTGGGGATGGAGTACAGGACTAGACGCGCCAAGCTAGCACTCTACAAACTGAGCCATGTCTGAGACAATGGAATCACCTGGGGATCCAGACTCAGGTCCTGCTGCTTGAATAACAAGCACTTTGCTGAGTCACCTCCCCAGTCCTAACTGCTCCAATTCTAATGGAACAGACTGAGAAGCAGAGGAGGGTATAATAGGGAATCAGGTGTGTTCCGGGGAGGCTTCTCTGAGGAGGCAGCATTTGACTAAGAACTAAATGGAGAGAGCCCATGTGGGTATTTGAGGAGAAATTTCAGACTACACAGCAAATTTCAGCTCAGTATGTTAAACTCACTGTGTGTGTCTGTACTATGTGCAAAGCCCTGGGCTTGATTCTAAGATAGAAATATCCTTGATGAGGATTCTAACTGGAAGCTGGAGGCCACCCAGTACACAAAGGTGGTAAGAAAGGCAGGACAGGCATGTGCAACCTACAGGCTGCATGCATCTCAAGATAGCTATGAACGTAGACCAACACAAAATTAGAAACGGGCCTGGAAGATGGCTCAGTTGTCAAGAGCACTTGCTGCTCTTGCAGAGGGCCTGGGTTCACTCCCCAGCGTCCCCATTAGGCCCCTCACCACCATCTGAAAAAAAATTTTTTTTCAAAATCAGAAACTTACATATTTATTTTTCTTTTTGTTTGGTTTTTCAAGCAGGGTTTCTCTGAATAGTCCTAGTTGTCCTGGAACTCACTCTGTAGACCATCCTGGCCTCAGATTCTTAAAGATCCGCCTGCCTCTGCCTCCTGAGTACTAGGATTAAGGTATATACCATCACTGCCTGCCTTTTTTTGTATTTTTTTTCAACTTGTTGGCTTGGTTCTAGTTCATGAACTCTGGCAATTGTCTGTTGCAATGTCAGAAGGCTAGACAAATCTGCAAGAGGACAGAGGCCACAGGCCTGCACCCCACTGGAATTTCCCCTCTCTGGACAATTTAGAGATGACCACTGTTGGGTAACTTAAACCCTGTCTGGGACTGGAGTCCAGGCTGGAGAGCCTCTCTGTGTGTGCATGCCTGTGCTGCAGTGCACGCGTGCAGGTAGGAGTACAATTTGCAGTAGTTGGTTCTCTCCTTCCACCATGGGGTCCTAGGGAGTAAACACAGGTAGTCAGGCTTGGCAAGGGCCTTTACCTGCTGAGCAACCTCACCAGTCCCCCTTTGTTTTTGTTTCTTCCTTAAACTATTTTGAAAACAGAAACTTTATGAATTTTCCAGTCATTCTCAAGCAGGAGCCATGCTAATCTTCATATTGTTCCAATTTTAGTATATGTGCTGCCGGAGTGGATGGACGCGCACGCGCGCATGCACACACACACACACACACACACACACACACACACACACACATTTTAAATAGGGTCTTGGTATGTAACTTGGGCTAGCCTGGAACTCAGTATGTAATCTGGGATGGACTCAAAACTCCAATTCTCCAGGAGCCTTCATCTTCCCAGTGCAGGGATTATAGATGTGAATGGTTACATCTAGCTCAGATTCCCCCCACCCGTGTGTGTGTGTGTGTGTGTGTGTGTGTGTGTGTGTGTGTGTGCGCGCGCGCGCACAACTGAGCTCACAGGTGCAGGTGTGTGTAGAGGCCAGAGGTTGACTTCAGGTGTCTTTCCTCCATTTGTCTCCTCTTAATTTACTTAAGCAAGGTCTCTATCACAACCCGGAGCTCACCAGCCAGGCTAGTCTGGATTAGCTAGCTTGGTCCTCTACCCCACCCCGAAAACTGTCTGTCTCTACTCCCCAATGCAGAGATTCCAGGCAGCTTCCAAGCCCACCTGGCTCTTACTACCACGTGGGTCCTAGAGATGCAAACTCTGGAATGTCAGCCACTGAGCTGTCACCTCAGCCCTAGATCAGGCTCTTGAGACCCTTGCCTCTGGCAGTGGAGGAAAGATCATCCCTTGAGCCCATTTAGGGAAACAGAAGAAAAACACAGAGAACTAGACAACTGAGGCTGGTATGGGACTCAGCTGACAGAGCAATGCCTAGCATGCAGGAAGCCCTGGGTTCCATCCTTAGCAGAGCATAAACCCAGTTTGTGGTGTAGCTCCAGCGTGGGAGGTCATTCTCAGCTATTACATAGTGAATTTGAGGCCAGCCTAAGCTACATAAGATACACACACTCTTTCTCTCTCCCTCTCTACTTCACACTGGTAGACTGCTTGGCCAACAGGCTTGACATCCCCAGTAGCAGAGGAGGAAGGAGGGAGGAGGAAGGAAAAGGGGCTGGAGAGATAGATGGTTCCAAGCTTAAGAGCGCTTGCTGTTCTTCTAGATCTATGTTCTGTTCCCAGCACGTACAACAGGCTGATTACAACTGCCTGCTATTCTAGCACCAGAGAATCAAATTTCCCTGGCCTGCTCAGACACTACATGCACATACCCATCATCACACACACACTTTAAAATTTTGAAAAATCTTATAAAAGAAAGTATTGAGTGAGCAGGGCAGTGGTGGAGCATGCTTTAATCCCAGCACTCGGGAGGCAGAGGCAGACGGATCTCTGTGAGTTTGAGGCCAGCCTGATCTACAGAGTGAGTTCCAGAGGACAGCCAGAACTGTTACACAGAGAAACACTTTCCTGTCTTGAAAGGAGGAGGAGGAGGAGGAGAGAGAGGAGGAGAAGGAGAAGAAAGTGATGGCAGTCAGCCATGACTTTGGGAAGGAATAGCTAGGCTTGTCTCCCTCTGAAACCACCTCTCCCTTTCACAGACTTGGAATGGAGAACAGGCCCATCTCACCTGCTAAGGTATACCTTTGAAGGAAAACATGGAGGCCCTGGGCCTAATGAGTCACTGTGAGGAGCAAAACAGCCTCCTAATAGCCCCAGGGAAAAGGTCAAGGCTGGCTCCTGTGTTCCCAGAAGTCACTGAGCCAAATTCCAGCTCAGCAATTCCAGCTCAGGCACAGCTAAGGGCTGGGGATAGAAGCATGGAGTAGAGAAATGGAGAAGGCAGAAGTGTCTTGGCAGTTGATAACTTCCCTTACTCCATCTGCTTCAGGCCAAGGACACCAATAGGAAGAAATGGCTGTCTTTAATTCCAACACACACACAAAACTAATGACCACCAGCAGCAAGAGAAACTGAACTGTTTATTAGCCCAGATCTGGGTCTCCAGCACAAGGAGGATATCTGGGAAGCTATATGAGAGGAGATACACTCCCAACTGGCTCCTTGCATCCCAAATTTCCCCTTCCTCCACCTTTTCTTTCACAAATCTGAGGCAGAGGTTTCTATGTGTGGAAGAGATGAACCAGCAATTCCCAAGGGGCCTGTGCATGGCCAGACCCCTCCCCCCACCCCCCTATATCTCTCTGGCAGTTTCAACAGAGATGCGAACACGAGAGGTCAGACAGCACCCACACTGGGACATGTCATGGACCCTACTCACTGGCACACAGACATATATAAATACAGTTTGTACCGCATTGGACTTTCTATATCTCCACAGGATTCAGCAAAGTCCTTCAAGGGAAGGTTACATATGAGTACCCAGGAATGTCCATAGCCACCTCACATCTCTGTTAACTCTGTTATTCATGATAACATGCAAGAGAGGTGTTTGTGGTGCACCCCTGTGATACCAGCACTCAGGAAGTAGAGGCAGGAGAATCAGAAGTCCAAAGCCAGCCTTGGCTACATAGTGAGTTGGAGGTCAGGCTGGGCTGTCACAACTGTAAAAGCAACAAAGACAATTTGCAAGTGGCCACACTGAGTTCAAGGCTGCCCTGCCTTAGAGGACCTGGTACCTGGGGTAGAATGAAGGTGGGGAGGTGGGACTAGTTTGTGGGGAGGGAGGCTGGATTCAGGGATGGGAGTTCCAGGAATAACCACTACCCCCCTCTAGAGTTTTCTCCTGAGGAAGACCAAAGCCTCCTTGGCATCTGCCCCACATCGACTTCCCCAGGCCTCAGCTGATTCCTCTGCACTCTTCAATAGAGCAAGTAGCCAATGAAGTCTGAGGATGGAGATGAGGATTCCAGGCTCCTCCTCTCTGCACCACAGTGGTTTCCCTTCCCAGAACATGAAAGGAAAGGGAAGAAGTAACTGAGTTGATGCAATTGAGGAAGCTGTGGATTTAGGCCTCAGATTGACAGGGAGGAAGCCTTGGGTCCCCTGGGGACAGGGTTTCCACAATAAGTGGCCTAAGGTTGTCTATGGAAAGTGGCAGGAGCTGGGTATGATGGTACACAGCTTTAAAATTCCAGCACTCAAAAAGCAGAGACAGGAGACCTCTGGGAGTTCTTGGCCAGCCTGGTCTGCATAGCAAGTTCTAGGCCAGCCAGGGCAACATAGAGAGGCCCTGTTTTAAAAGGAGGAGGCAGGGAGCCAGGTGGCTGGAAGGTAGGACAGGATACTGACACCCTTTGTACCAAGTGGCAAATGCTCTAGCCCTAAGCTCCAGCCTGCTGTGTCCCTAGACCCTTAACGGTCCTCGCAGTCATGGTACTACAATCTGTTTCAGTCAGTGGCTCCATTGGCCAACTGACCTATGAGCTGTGGTCAGTTCCACTAAGCCTGTGGCACTGAGGGACACGTGAGGTCACCTGGTCTCTCTCCACAGAGCTCTCTCTGTGGCTTGGCTATCTGTCAGTTCACCCCTTCCTTTCAGACTACTGTGTTGCCCTCCAGAAACGTAGGTGATGTAGGCATATGCAAGCCCCTCTCCAGTGAACTGGAGCTGCGGAGGGGCAGGAGCCGGTGACCCGTGGTCCCACCTCTACGGCCTGTCACTCTCTTCCCCTGCCGACAGCACTGTAGGGGCCTCAGCACCTCCCTCCGAAGGTCCCGGCTACACCACGTATAGATGACAGGGTTAAGCAGTGAGTTGAGTGTGGCAAAGGCAAAAAAATAATGGGCTTTGTAGAGGACAGGACAGGCCCGGACGGGACAGGTAGAGTCTAAGAGAAGGATGCTAAAAGCTGGGAGCCAGCAAATGATGAAAACACCCAGTACGATGGTGACTGTCTTGAGCAGGGCCAGTGTCTGAGGACCGGCAATATCGGCATGGCTGGAACGGACTACAAAGTAGATTCGGACATACAATGCCACGATAGCCAATAAGATGACAGAAAAGATGGTGACCACACAGAGCACATAGTACTTGTCATAGAGGGGCAGGACAGTGGAGCAGGCCTCCAGATGGTCCAGACAATTCCAGCCCAGGATGGGCAAGCCACCCAGAATCAGTGACATCAGCCAAGAGGCCCCGATGAGCATCAACATTCGACAGCTTTTGTCACTGCCGTAAAGCTTGACCTTGGCAATGGCTACTTGTCTCTCGATGGCAATAGCCAGGAGGCTGAAGACTGAGGCAGAGAGAGTGATGAAGGCTGAACCCTCTCGGGCGAACCACTGCAAAGGAGTCAGTGACAGAGTGACAGGCCCTGAGAACAAGGTGTTGGCCACGAAGGCCACACCTGCCAGCAGGTCAGAGGCTGCCAGGTTGCCGAGGAACAGGTACATTGCTGAGTGGAACTTGCTGTTCCTTGCCACAGCGATTAACACCAGAAGGTTCTCCACCACGATGGCACAGCATAGGAGGATGATGAAGGCCGAGGCCACCTTGCGGGAAAGCGTCTCCTGCATGTCCAGCGTCTCCTTGGTGTAATTGTAGTGTTCTAGAACCTTCCCAGAATTGAGGTACTCTGAGTATAAGCCACCCATGGTGGGGCTCAGTGGCCGGCTGGGGCCATGGGGATGAGAACTGCAGAGAAAAAGGACAACAGGTTAGACCTGTGCTTTTGCAGGAACTCTAGAGTGAGCTTATACTAAAGAGGTCCAGGGTCTAGCTGAGTCCTCAGAGTGACCCCAGGGAAGCCACATTCATTACTGCCTCCCCTCCCACGTGACAGACAGGATGTTTGGAGAAGTTAGTTAGGTTTTGTTTTTTTTCATGACAGGGTTTCTCTGTATAGCCCTGGCTGTCCTGGACCAGGTCACCCTCCAACTTATATATATATATATATATATATATATATATATATATATATGAATGAGAGGGAGAGAGAGAGGAGAGAGAGAGAGACAATTAAAGAAATAGAGGCCATGAATTTGAGAGAGAAGATTGGGAGCGGGGGATTGCCAGCCTGGTCTGTATTACAAGACCCTATCTCAAGAAACAAGAAAGGAGGGCTGGAGAGATGGCTCAGAGGTTAAGAGCACTGACTGCTCTTCCAGAGGTCCTAAGTTCAATTCCCAGCAACCACATGGTGGCTCACAACCATCTGTAATGAGATCTGGTGCCCTCTTCTGATGTGCAGATATACATGGAAGCAGAATGTTGTATGCATAATAAATAAATAAAATATAAAAAAAAAAGAAACAAGAAAGGAACAGACAGAAGATTCTTGGGACTTCTAGAAACCTCACCTTCCTTCCACAGAGCAAGTCCGAGGTAGGGCTTGGCCAGCTTGTCACTTCTGTCCTACACACAGGCACCTCAGGCTTCATGCCACCTGCTGACCTGGGTAAGCGAGATTCTTACTACCCGCAGCACCAACCCCTGGTCATTACCACCCACTGCCTGAATCCAGGCTGGGTCTAAGCCTTGAGGCCATGGGCACACCCAAAGATAAAAACTTAGGGAGACACCAGGACGGCCCTGAGGTCCACGCTTCCCAGAGCTGCAGTAACTTGAAGGAAATCGATCTGGGTGAACACTTCATCTGTTCCCACTCCAACTCTGACTTTCAGACTGACTTGCTGAAGGCTCAGACTCTTGGCCTCAACACATCCATCTGTACAATGGGTAACAAAAAGATCCCTTCATAGGGGATGGAAAAATCCTTTTCAAGGATGTGTGAAACCTGGATGGTGATATGCACCTGTAATCACAGCACCCCAGGGGCTGAGGTGGGAGGCAGCTTGAGCCCAAGAGTTCACGATCAGCCTAGGCAAGAGCAAGGACAGACAACAGGATCACGTGAGATGGGTGAATGGGTAAAAGCGCTTGCTGAACAGAAGCCCTGGATTGGATTCCCCACAGCCAAAGTAGAAGAGGAGAACTGAGTCCCCAAAAGTAACCTCTGACCTCCATGCTGGGTGCCAGTGGCACAGGCGTGCCCACACTCACCCATACATCATGCCCCCAATAGTGATAAACATAATAAACTTTAAAAAGAAAAGGCAAGAAGGGGAAAGTTACACAGAGCTGGGGAGACAGCTTGTTGGTGAAGCGCTTGCCTTCTAATTATGAAGACCAGAGTTTGATGTCCACATTAAATAAAACCAGTAGCATGTGGGAATCTGAAACAGGTGGATTCCCCCAGGAAGCGCAAAGGGAAAAAATTAAAAGGAAAAGAAAAAGATAGATGCAGGGCCTGAAGAGATGGCTTAGTAGGTAGAGCGCTTGCCTTGCAAGTATGAGGACCTGAGTCCAATCCCCAACACCCACATAAAAAGCCAAGGGTGATGGTAAAACTTGTAACCCCAGCACTGGGCAAGCAGACAGGAGGATCCCCAGGCCCACTGGTAGTTCAGCCTAATCTACCTGGAGAGTTTCAGGCCATCAAGAGATCCTGTCTCAAAAACAAAGCAAAACGGGGTGGGATGTAATCTGAGGAGCAATAGGTGAACTGGTCCCATGTCCCCCCCACATGTGTGTACACACAAAACACATACAGAGAGCGTAGGAAATATCCAACAAGTACTAACTAATGTCTTCAGTGTCCCCTTCTCCAACACACACAAGCTTTGGGGCTACCTCCACCGACTCGATATTTTGGAAAAGGATGCTGACTTAGCCATAAAAAAGAAAACAAACAAGCAAATCCACTCCAACAGTCGTTTGCCGTCCCCACCATCTCACACTACCCAAGGACACTAGTTCCCAGGCGGGTGGGCAGAGTACTGGCACTCCCTCCAGTGCCAGGATGCAATCCAGATGTGTCAAGCCCTGCAACAAACACGGTAGAGCCCTTGTCACATCCGGTGTGGGCAAGTCTGGGGGCGGGGATATAGAGAATGAGGAGATCACCAGTGACCTGGTCTCAGAGGCCCTGGCTAAGAAGATGAGACAGCTGCAGGAGTCATGTGAGCTGTGAAGGGCCCCCCTGGAGCAGTCTGTGCAGAGGGGCTGGGAGGGGGTTAGAAATTTGTTTCCATGAAAGTCTGAGTCACCCACCCCTCCTTTGCGAGAAAAAAACTAAGCTGAGCCTGGGAAGGGATAGGGGAGGGGACCTGTGTGGGCAGAGAACATGAGATGCTGAGCACACCATGGCCAGAGTAGGGTAGGGGGAATCTAGGAGGGTGGCGCAATGTACAGAGAATGCTCCCGTCCTTGGTTACAGGGAGGGGCCACATGCTAAGAACTCTCCCAAGCCTGGGCTTGGAAAGAGGCCTGAAAAGGGCCACGTGTTTCCCAGAAAGAGTAAGGTTCCAGAAGCTGGCTGGTAGAGCCGGTTCCTAGTGAGCACTGAGAACGATGGGGGTCTTCCGGGGTCACCCAGCCATCTCCTTTGCCGGATGCCCCCTCGATGGGACACTCTGGCCTTTGAAGGGGGTTTACAGACACAGCTGCTCCCCACCCCCTAGGCGAGGGGACATCCGTCCTACTTTGGGAACAGAGAAGAGCTTGTACGTGTCCTCGGGGACAGCTGCCCCACCCATATCCTCACACAGAGGCCCCTTGTTTGCCCTGCCTGGACAGAGCCGCGGGAGCACCAATGCCCTCAGCTCGTTGTAGCCGGTCCCAGGCCAGCTTGGCCCAGGCCACACAGCCAGGTCTTCAGGCCGAAGCAGCCAGGAGCCTGATTGGCTCATTTTCAATCCCCAGGGTGCATCCTCGACATTCGATTGGCCCAGCTGGGGGCGCTCTGAGAAGAATCTTACAGCGGTTCCCTTTTGAACAAACGCTGCTGGGACTCTGCTCTTCGGGAGCTGTGATTGTCCCTTTGGGGCTGTTTGAACCACAGCCTGACCGCTGGGTCACCCTTCCTCAGACGCCTCCGTTCTGCCCTGATCATCTGGGCCCCTCTTAGGGTACATATTTGAGAATCAACCCCCCCCCCCCCCCGCAACTGCAAGCCTAGTAGGCGAGAAGCACCCCTCTGGGACTCCCAAGGATAGCCACCACCCCTTCTCCAGTCTGGCGCTGTAGAAGAGAAAGAAAGAATTATGACCGTTTCCTGCAGAAATAAACGTGACCAGCCCCGCCCGAGCACCCCAGGGACTGACCAGAAAGTCTGTCTTCCCGGGGGCTGAAGATAGTGAGTGAGCGCTATATCCACAGCTGTGCAGAGGCTAAGTAAGACTCTGCATACGGGTATACACACACACACACACACACACACACACACACACACACAGAGAGAGTCCAGTAAGGAGGGAAAGCAGGGTCCAGGCTGTCTCCTCTTCCCTTTTGAACCTTCCTAACCAAAGAACTTAAGCAGTTTAAGGACTCCCTGAAAGAGGAAGCTGGGCCCAAGGCCTGGTGCCTTGGAGGAAGAGTCACTCTCCACGCAGATAGAAGTTGGTCTGGCCTCCTCTCTTTGTCCAGACTCCAAGACCTGGCTAAATCTCCAGTCACCCTCTACGACAGTGGTCCAGACTGCTTCTCAGGAGTAGGCGAAGTTGCCACTAGACTCTGAACTGAAAAATGAGCCTGACCAGGTGGTTCACACCTATAATCCCAGCTACACAGAAAGTTGAGAAAGGAAAATGGAGAGTTCAAGACCAACCTGTGCTACATAATGATTTTAAAGTTAGCTTAGGAAGCATGAGGAGACCTTGAAGCAAGTTGTGGGGGACCAAATAATTCTGTTATGAAATATTTTGAGATCCAGCCTCGGGTTTCGCCGGAAAGCTCTGGCCCACTATTGTATTGCTAATTCCAGCAAGTCTACTATTGTTTACCATAGCTCAGTATGGAATGCCTCCTATTTGCATCTTGATGGGCCTAAGCATCTGAATAGACCTGCACCTGGGCGGAGGGGCGAGGTGTGTGAGCAACAAGTGAGGACAAGAGTTAGGGGCGAGGGACCAGAGAGGAGAGGAGGAAGGACAGAATTGGGTTCCTCGTGGTCATAGAAGCATGGTTAAGAAACAGCCGAAAAGATGGCAAATAAAGAAAAGACTCTAGTTTTACAACATGGAACTGAGAACTCTCTAAAGATGACGAGATGCCTGTGTTTGGGCTTTACCGCCGCTGGGTTGCTAGGAGCTTCCAGGTCCACACACCTCCGCTCAGGCCGAACCTTATGGGTTAAGGCTGAGACGTGCGGGTCACGACGGCAAGTAGAAATTAAAGGGGTGGGCTGGGAGATGTCGAGATGGCTCAGCTAAAAGCACTTGTCACCAAGCTTCTGGCCTCCTCACTCATGCCATGAAGCACACATGCCCATATAGGCATACCCACAAAGTAAATAAATGTAACCTTTAAAATGTAAATATATTAGAAAGCCCAGTGTAGCAGTGCTCTTTTAATTGCAGGATTTGGGAGAGAGAGGCAGGTGGATCTCTGTGAATTTGAGGCCAGCATGATCTACAGAGTGAGTTTCAGGACAGCCAGAACTACATAGTGAGACTCTGTCTATAAATAATTGAAAGTAAGAAGGCGAGCTCTATATAATTCAGGGGGACAGCATCATTTGAAGCCCTGGGTTTAGGATACAGAACACAAGGAAAAGAGACGAGTGAGAGGTTTTGGAGAGGGAAGGCAGATATCCAGACATGACTGCCTGACTAAAGATTAGGAGAGAGGAAGGCTGGAGGAAGGCCTGGTGGCTTAGTGGCTCTGCTCCTCTCCTTCCCAGTTCCAGAGCTCACCCATCCCTCCCCAGCAGCTGGCCAACTTCAACCCTGCAGTCACCTTTTCTCTCTTTTGGTTGCTGTGTGATTGCAGCCCCTCCCACTACTGCTGCCCACCCCGCCTGCCTGCAGGGCCTGCAGGGGAGAACTGACAGAACTGAGAACTTAATCTTCACTCCCCACCTACTCACTCTATGGCTCCCTAGGGCTCCAATGGTTAACTCCTGCTCCCATGGATAACCCTCACTAGCCTCCCAAGGCCCATTTGAATCTCAGGGCCTTCCCTATATCCTACAGACACTCCTCCGTCCCACCCCACCCCCACTCAAACATGTTTTCTGGCAGACTATATCATCTTTGGATTTTATTTGAATGCCACTTTCTAGGTCTTCAGAAACTACCTTCTCTTTTCGAGACAGGGTCTTATTGTGTATCCAGACTGACCAGGAACTCTCTATGTAGATCAGGCTGGCCTTGAACTCACAAGAATCCTCCTGCCCCAGTCTCCGGGAGTGCTGGGATTAAAGGCCTGGGGCATCGTGCACAGCCCAGCCCAGCCCATCCCCGAATTCTATCAGAGCATCTAGCTTTAATCATCAAAAATTGTCTTGTTTTCCACAGTACCCCATGAGGCCGGCTAGCAAGTTCACCCCTGATGCAAAAGAGACAGACACAAGAATGAATGAAAGGGCCCTAAACTGGAGGAAGGGCTCCCAGGAGAGCTTGGGGACATCTCAGTCCTCTTAGCAGCACCCCAACTCAGCCACTAGGCGAAGCCTGGCGCGTCTCCATGGCGACGACGGTAAGACCCGCCCGGCCCAGGCAGCACTCTCCGGCTCCTTATCAGGCCGAGGAATGCGCGGTATCCACACTCTCTGGGGCGGCGCCATCTCTCAGCCGAGACCCCGACACCGACACGCGAGCAGGATGCTCCCCTCCCCGCACCATGCAACAGGGGAAGGCGACACCTCTGCATCCCATCAGAGGGCCCCCACACCTAGATTCCCCGGGCACTGAAGAGAGGGGAAGACCCAAGCTGCAGCAGCTGCATCCCCTCTGTCCCCCGCCCCCCGCAGTGATGCTCCCATGCCCTGCCACAGGGGACCGTGGGCTCAGAAGAGTGTCGCCTAGGGCATCTAACAAGCACAGAGACGGGGGTGGGGAGGGGAGGTGGAAATCCCCGAGTGAGTCAACCGGTGCCAGAGAAGGGGGCGAGGTCCCAACACTGTGTAGCCCGCGACAATGTGGACTCCACACCACGCGTGCCTTCTTTCGCCCCTATGCCCCATCCTTGGGCTAGGATAGGAAAAGGAGGCGTCTGGACTATGCAGTACTGTTCCTTTCCGTCTGAAACAAAACAATGCTCCCGAAGGGGAGACCGCGGGAGAGGGCAACTCAGGGAAACTGAGGCAAAAAAAAAAATAGCCTTACAGGCGGTGGGGCGACGGCCTTCCCTGGGGACCCCGCCCATGAACTCGGAGCGTCCGCCGCGGCCGCTCGCGTGTAGCACCTTTCGTCCTAGCTCAAGCCGGAGACAGAGAAGAGATGCTGTACCTCTCCTCAACAACCCCACAGCCCCAAACCCGGCTTCCTGAGAGCCCCCATCCTGTCTTGCAAAGTCGCCAACCCAAAGTACTTGGATTCCGCCTTTCTCTTCAACACCAACTTCCTGCCCCGAGGAAGGCGGGGAGCTCTGTCTGGGGGTGCGCCACCGAGTAGGTGGGAAACTGCCCGGAGCGGTGGCCACGGTGCACGGGGGAGGGTGATCGGTCCCATCGGTGCAGCAGACCCTGGAGCAGCGCATGCTAAGCCTGTGTGAGCGCCTGACCCCGGGCTCGGCCCCCCCCTAGGATCCCCGCCGTCTCAGCGGACCGCGCGCCGCCCGCCCAGATCGGAACCTCCCCTTGGCCCCGCGAGCTCACCTGGCTAGGCCGGCCGGGGTCCCTGCCCTGGCCTGAGTGGCCTCGGCGTCTGCGCCCCGGGACAGCCAGTGGTAGGGTTTGGAGGCTGCTGGCTGGGCTCGGTCTACGTCCCGGAGTTGGGGACCCAGGACAAGAGGGAGGCGGGCAGAGCCGCTGCATCCATCCCCCACTCCCTCCT